CAATTTATTTAGATAAGATTGATAAAACTTTTTCGATAACTCAATAGGTAAAGTTTTCAATTTTGACAAGCTTTGGATATAGTACCTTATGAAATTTTTGTTTCCAGCGCTGTAACTCAGTCTAACATCTTGTTACATGATCACGACACTTCTTTTGTTCATATTTGACATAAAAATAGTTTTCACTTTTTTAGTAAATAGGAACTGAATTACGTGGATAAATGCAAAAAAGAGGCCACTGTATCTCAAAAAGTAGAAATTGCATAACAATTATTGGAGAGTAGTCTCTCATCAGAACGTTTGTAAATTCAGTATAATGAAATCTGAAAACCGAACATATACAGATCATTATCATCGACACTGAGACAGCTCTCTTGATTATTTAGCGTTTGAATCACTGCTCAAAATTGTAATTTGATTCTACACATGATCCCTTACAGTTTTTAGCTGGTCAAAATCAACTGGCAATAAATTGAGCTTATGCCATTGTTCATTTCCGCCATTAAGTGGTTGGTCAGTTGTTGGTTATTTGGAGGACAGACTTTTACACTTTAAAGTCGCTACAAAATAATTTTAAATGTTCTTTTTATAGCAATTTTTCGTGGGCACTAAAAAAGCTCAAGCCCGGCATTTTAATTTGACTATAAGAACTGAAGATTAAACTAATAATTATAACTAATCAGTAGCTACCCGAGAGGGGGGGGCAACTATTAAAAATTATGTCATGAGAAAAACCAATACGTAAAAGTAAGTTCTGGCCAATTAGTTCGATACTAAACTGCCGTGCTTAAGAATTTCGATCTTAGGCGTTGAGCATCATAGGCAAACTCATACAAATATACGCATTGATAAACTCCTTATTTGTCCAGAAAACTGGCAAACTGCTACTTTACAAGATATTACAAGATATGATCGCAGGTTGAATATCTTACTTTATTTGATGTGCGCTTCGTTTTCTCACAAAGGTATTCAATAAAGGTTCGTAAAAATTTTCGATAAGCGTGCTCATAAATTTTGATTAACTAAGCAACTTGGGATGGAAAACATTGGACCGCACAACATTTTTCTCGTAAGTGTGCAATGTGGGCTTTTGCGCCATTTTTTTGTTTTCAACAAAATTATATAACCGTTCACTTGAAAAATTGAATTCAAATATCGAGCTTGAATTTAATAACTTCGAAGTAGAAAAACTGCAATTAGAGAATCAAACATTGTTAATGAGTTCCAGTAAACCGAAAAAGAGACTACTTGGAAGATTTTTAAACTTTCGAAGACAAAATATCATCATTTAATAGCTCTTTAAATTTCATGAATCTAGTACAATTGAGTTTTTTTTTTTCAATCGAATTTGTGAAAGCTGGATTATAACAAAACTTTTCTTTACCTCTTGGAAATCTAATAAATAGAATCAACATTTCAAAACCAGTCATGCAAGCTTTTTTTTCAATTTTGCTCTTAATATACTCAGTACAAGTGATAGATTTGAATTTCGAGAACAAATTGCGCTGGAAATTTATTTCTATAGAAGTAATTAATTTTGATAAAACTGTATCAATATGTAATTCTTTATTCCGCTGATAAACCTAGAAATTTAAAAACGCTTTCGAAACTAGAAAATGCTCACGGTTTTCGTAAAGTTTACACTTTTGCTATCAGATTGTTGAGTTTGTTTTCTTTTTAACCACAAATTCATTAAGACTAAGACTGAATCTTTTTTGATATATACATATCTAATTTGAAAAAAATGGGCAAATATGTAAAAATTTTGTTGCGCTGAGAAACTTAAAAATAGAAATCTATTTTCAAAACCAGATGTTCATTTTGGTTTTGCGCGTTTTCTGCTTTTATGATTAAAGAGCACAATTTGATCTACTTTTAGCAAAAAAAATTGACTTGAACTCAGGCTTCAAAAAATGAATTGAAATTAGACTTCAAACCGCAAAAACTAATTTTGATTTTAGCTATTTTGAAAACTTTTCTTGAAAAAAAATCAACCCGAAATATATAAGTATTTCACTGCATTCATTAGCTCTCAAAAACCATCTCAGGTGAGTTTTTTTCATTTGGACTTGAGATATTAGCACCTTTCAATTGTATAAATAAACAAAGAGGCGAAGTTCACTTCGCATACACAAGCAAAAAAATGACCGATAATGCAAAAAGTGAATGAGTGAAACTTTGAGTCTTTAAAAATTCGTGATTGACGCACGCAAATTATAAGTCTACATAAGTGCTAAGTGACGCAAGCCAATTAAGACGCATTAGCAGTTCTGGTCAATTTAAAAAAGAATAAACTTACCAACTAACATGCCTCAATTTATAGAGCGGACGCATTTTAACTAGTATACTAAAAAGTTCATTAAAAACATCCGACCCTGCCCAGGTTCGAACCCTCTTAGTTTGCTTGTGTGCTATTTGTAATAGAGTAGTCTGTGATAGTATCCTTAGCAATGGCTGTATTTAATAGCTGGTTACTGATCAAAACGAACTCTTTCAAAATAAACAATAATATTTGCGACTTAGGATTGAAGAAAAGACAGTTACTACTATCACACATGCTTTACTAATAAAAAAAAGTATATGAAAAAAACCAACAGACAGCTAGAAAAGAGCGAATGAACGCAAGTAAACAGAAAAACTTTTTTTTTAAATTTCAAATCTCGAATTGAACAGTGAGCAAAAACTTTTGAGAATGAAATGAAGTTGAATTTTATACAATTATGATTGATAAAAAATTTTCGATAACTCAATAGCTAAATTTTTTGTCCGCTGTTAAAATTTACTTTCAAAATTAGATGTCGATCACGTTTTTCGAGACCTTTAAGCATTTGCTGTTCCAAGTGTAGTTTGCATTTACTACATTCATCGCCTCTGAAAAAATTTTCATGTCAATTATCAACCTAAATAAGCTGGTTGATTAGGCCGAAAAACAAACATTTTTTGATGACTATCAAAATGTGGTGAGGCTAAAGTCCAGTGAAAAAATGGCTATTATATTAAAAAAAGAAATTCGACATTAATGATGTGTATTTAACTACTATTTGATGTTTCTGCTGACCAGATTTACAAGAGTTGATTTACATCTAAGAAAAAGCATGAATCGAAACCTTTCAACTTATCAATACACCATACTTTCTCTGAGACAAAAAAAAAATCCGTAAGCCTTCAACGCAATATGGGTCACATATTTATGGATTTTAAAACATTGCAGACAACGGTTCCAGCATTTCCACTTTCAACTTAATTTTGTTTTTACCATAGCGTGCTTTGAAGATGAGGCGGTCTCTGCCTTCATGATGCAGGGTTATTGAAAAAAAGCAACGCCTTCCCTCCCGTCACAGCACATGAAATTCAATTTTATGCTTCGAATATTAATTTTGCTAAAATATTTTTTGTGACGAATTTGCTTTGGATTCAGGGCAACACTTCTCTGAAATCAAATTTCATTTGCAACGTTTAAATCCAGTGAAAACTTAACAGTGAAAACTTTTGCGAGCGTTCCTGACAAGCTCTCGACTTGTTTAAATACAGCTGTTTTACAAACTTTCATCGAGTCAAATTTCCTTGTTTCTTTTTTCGACTTAAAATTTAATTGATGCTATATCTTCTTTGTCTTCAACTTTTTCACGACAGATGCATTGTATTAAACTGCTCCGACAGTTGCGTTGCTTCGTTTCAAATAAGCGGTTTGTATCATTAGGTAAAAATTTTATTTCACTGGAAAATCTAAAAATTATAACCACTGTTGAAACTGCAACTTTACATTAATGCTGTTAGATAGTGTAGTTTGCCTTCTAATCAACAAAAAAATGTACTGAACTTAAAAACAAACCAAAAGTCAAATCGCTAAAAAGTGAAACTAAGCTTGAACATATTTAAAGAATTTTCCTAAAAAATTAATTGAAGAATTATCGCGACTTAAAGAAGATCTTGAACTACATTGATGACTCTTAATTACGTCAGAAAGCGCAATTAAAAATGTGCGTAAGCCAATACGAGGACAACTATTCCGTCAATTTTCTCGAAACCCTCGAAAAAGTTACTCTTAGCGGTCTGTGTCTCAGATCAATGTTATCATCTCATCTTAAATCAGTTAGACAAAATAGGGTTGGATTCGTGGCATTAGCTATTCCAACGCTGAATTCAACTAGAAAAAGAGGTAAATTAACCTCAATTTCGCCTTTATTTATCCACATTGTATTTTTGTTAGTTTTCCTGTCCAATCTATGCACTTTTATTGCTACTTCAGGCAATGCGCATGTACAACGTAAGCTAACTGTAACAAGGATAGCCGGTTACGGTGCATGTAGCACAGAATGTTCCGAACTTAGTCTAAAAAAAGTTTTTTTTATAAATTGTCATTTTTCTGCTTGGTATGATAAAAAATCTGAACAAAAAACTGGAACTTAGGAATATTCGACAGTCATGGTAACTAGGCAAACGTTGTAGAAAATTACTAAGAGAACAAAAAAAAATGTTTTTGAATTTTTGATTTCCAAATTGCGGCGAAAAAACTCTAAAACAACTTTACTTTAAAAATGCATTCAATTAGAAGTGATTTAACCTTAGTCGTCGGAACAAAAAATATTGTATTCAAAAATGTGATCGGAACATTCAGTGCCTAGTAACCAGGTGCTCCTGCTCTTGTTAAAGTACTCGACTTCCTAATTTAATCGTCCATAGGCCAAACTGGTAATTCGAGTTTTTGAGCTATCTGCTCTTTCTTACTGTTTAATTTATACTTGATAGATCTGATTAATATTTTAAAAAAGCGACGAGAAATGAATTCTTCTTCTTGAAGAAGCTCATAATACATTGTTAATACTTGATTTTAGTATCGTTGCTGTATACCATTCGAGAACTTCATCAGACAACAGGCTCTGTTTGTAATAGTCTCTGTCTTCTTGAGTGACATTGGTCCTTTCCTTACTGCATAAAAATTCTCCACAGCTTGCCCTCAAAAAGCGGAAAATTAAATATTTATTGAAATAATTGCGATAAGAAAGTAATAGCAGATCATCATCTGAGTTGAGTTTTGAATCTTTCTCAGGTCAATCAACGTGGCTCATTTGAAAAGAAAACATCATTCAAAATCTTAAGAAAAAATACTTCAAACTTAATCTATCACAAAGAATACAACAGACTAAATTCACTCGAGTCTGAAGTGATCATTGTTTATTTATCAGCTATTTTCAACATTACGTCCACTTTTCTTGCTGGAATCCAATCCTTCGTCTGGGGGGACAAATTCCATTCAAGAAGGTGGGAGGAATTAAGGGAGGGACAGGAGACATGAACAAACCTAATCGTTCAGCTACATCTCATAATCCAGTGCGTCAAATAGGTAATTGAAGCTTGGATTTGGCTGATCCAGATCTCTTTTTTAGCCATACAACAGTCATATAGACGACATTAATCACAATATAGGAGCTACTAAATTACAGGTGACCTTGAATTTGGTCGTCATTTGGCTGAAAAAACGTGAGGCGTTGATCCGTTGGCGGTAGCGACATATTGCGCGTTAGCTACATTTGCTGTATGATTGTTATTATTTGCATTATGGGCTACTAGAACATTGGGTTTAGTTGAAATGAGGACTGTTCCTGCAGACAACATCGGCGGAGTGCCTCCTGATGTGTTGGCAGTCGCTGCTACTGTCTTTGCCTGAGATCCTAACGTAATATGGTTGAAACCTATGCTTCCTTGTTGATTTTGTTGGGCCGTTTGGGACATAAAACTAGGAACGTTCTTTGCTGTCGTGGAAGAGTTCTGACCCGACATTGATGAATCAGTTGTAGTAGTGACGTAAACATTCGAGTTCCTTCCAGCTGTTCCTGGAACTGGGTTTCCATAAATTGACCCCATTTGGGGCATATTATTCTCAACTGCATTCAAGTTCGGGTAGACTGGGTTCGTAGCACCACTAAGGTTGTTGTTCAACTGCGATTGATGTTTGTTCACGCCGGCTGCCATTCCAGGCGACGTTATGTTTCCGCCAAGGTATCCCGACTGGTTAATCATGGAAAGCGCTGAATTCACGACTGCACTATTATGAGCGGCATTTCCACTGGTGTTTAGACTTTGTCCAGCTGACGTGTTGCTGCTATTATTGTTGTTATTGTTATTATTGCTACTGCTGTTGATTGAGGAGGACCTACTATAGCTTCTGTTTGGAGGGACAAGATACTCGTCATTGGCGAGAGTCAAAACGTCTGGACGTTGGTGGACTCTTTGAAGACATCGCCTTATGAAGTTTTTAGCCTCTGGCGATATCGCTGGCTTCGTCGGAAACTCAACTGGTCCTGCGTTTCTAATGGTGTCGTTTTTCAGGATACTCGCCTGGGATTCGTTATGTCCGTAGGGTTTCTTGCCATATAGGATTTGGTAGAATAGCACCCCGACGCTCCACACGTCAACTTTGGACGATATGACAACGGGTCCCTGGGCTGCGTCATCAAAGACTTCTGGTGGGAGGTACCAGTAGGTTCCGGTTCCTTGAGACGTCAACTCGATTCCACCTTGCGTATCGTTGTAAGCATCTTCGTCCATAATTTTACTGAGACCGAAGTCGGTGATTTTGATTTCTCCTACGTTTGAGTCTTTTCCCATGAGAATGTTGGCCGGTTTGAGATCGTAGTGGATGATTGGCTTTTTGAGCTGGTTCAAATACTTCAAAGCAGAAACAACTTGTTGGATTACTGATTTGGCTTCACGTTCTGCTAAATTTTTGGACTGCTTTAAACAAAAATCTAAAACACAGCACACTACTTAAGATACAATAGAAGTTCGTAATTGAGTTTTATTTATTACCTTAAAAAGTATAGTATATTAGTGTAACCTTCCATACTACAACTGCTGAGCATAATCATCAAATAAGCGCATTTTAACCTTTTCATATTAAGCGTAAAGCAAATCTACCAAAAAATTCAATGATGCATTAATATATTTTGTGAAAAAAATTCAGCAAAACAACAACTGAATCTACTAATACTGTAATGAAAACCGGCTTCGCCTAAAATATGTGCATGTCCAAACCCCATCCTCCCAGTTAATTTTTGAACCCCCGCAAATTAAGTACTACATAGGTAGTTTATGGCTAGTTTAACTCACCAAGATCATTTCCGTCACAGTATTCCATGACGGTACAAAAAGAGTCCTGTGATATCTCGAACACATCAAACAGACGAACAATTCTTGAATGAGACAGCTGTTTGTGTATCTCATACTCTCTGCACGCGTGTTTGATGTAGTTCTGTTTCTTCTCCTCTCTCCATTCTTTATTGCAGTGGTGGATCTTGCAGGCTACAAATTGCTGTTCACGCAGATCAAACGCCTTGTACACTTCGCTAAAGCCCCCTTTACCTGCAAATATAATAAGCTATTACGTCAACGAAAATGTGCAACAAAATTGTTAATATAAGAAAAAAAACATCAGACAGGCGAAGCTGAGCTTTGCACTAATTGCGATACAAAAAAAGAATGACTGTAATTAAAATCAAATGGAAAAATTGAAAAACAAAGCCCAAAAAAAAGTGAAAAAGAGTCAACGAACGCAAGTATACAAAGAACTTTTCGAATTTCACAGAAAAAAAAGAGATGATCTTAAAGCCCTTTGAATTTCAAGCACAATTAATGATTGACTTTTTTTAACTAACCCAAAATGAACAATTTGGATCATCAGGTAAAATTTTATTTCAGTGGGAAATCGGGCAATTAAATAACACTTTCGAAACTAGAACTTAACACTTTTGCTGTTCGATAGTGGAGTTTGCCTTTCTTTCAGCAAACGAAATTAACTGCACTTAAAAAGAAATCAAGTCAAATCGCTAAAAAGTAAAATTGCGCTTGAACAAACTTTCGCGAAAAACTTAGTATACCAAAAAGCTTGAACAAACTTTAGGTCAGAAAGTGCACGTGAGAATGTGTGTAAAAAATCATCCGGAGGACAACTATACTAAAATGATACTCTTTACGGTCTTTTCTCTGAGATCAATGTGATCATCTTAGTTCAGGTTGACAAAATAGGTTTGGATTCGTGGCATTAGCTTACGTTTTCACTTAGCTGAATCTTTTTACAAACCAACTCGGGGTTTTCTAAAATTTGATATAACAGTGTGAAATCCTTCCAATTTGAACTTTTCCAAATTACAAGAAAAGCCCAAAATAAAATTACCTGCACCATTGACAACTTTACAGAGAGCTTTCGGAATAATGGAAAAAAGCCAAGCTTTCCAAACAATGTCCTTTCTGGGGAAATAAGGCGACAAAAAAGCAGACAGACAATAATCTAATTTGGGCGAAAAATTTTAATTTACAGGTCTGGAATGGAATCGAACACCCGGGATTCGTCGTTTGAAGCATGGGTGATACAGCAATAGGGAAGAAAGCTGAACCTTCAAAAACAGCCGTGCTGAAGAAACTGAGCCCACAAAAAACAGAGGAACGATAGTCCCAAAAAGCACTAAGCACAAAAACTAGCTTTGAAATAGGACTCGGCCGGAATCGAACCACAAGCCTTTGCCAACTCAAGCAGTTGTGTTACTTCTACGCTAAATGCACCGGATGGTCGATTGAATTTGATATTTACCAAGTGGTAACAAAGCCGAAAATACCTGAGCAGAAACCCTTCATACAGAAAAAATTCTTTCAAAAAGTCGGAAAAAAAAACAAAATGAAATTAACAAATCGAGATGGTTAAATTTCAAACACCATAAAAAGCACATTTCAATTAGGCTGGATATTTCAAATGCTAACATGCTGAAAATATGTCTGAGGCAATAGAAAGGCCAAGTAGATGAAAAAGTCCAGGATATGTGCACTGTGAACAAAGTTATTTACGGGAAAAATCTAGCACACGATTGCAACCCCCTTGCTTATCGCAAGGGTTAAAAAAAACTTTTTTAAAAGGGGTGCGTAGAATCAAGAAGCCACTTTCAACTGTATTCTTTCGCCAAGCTAATTTTACACAATTTTTCAAAATCAAAAGGAAACAGCATTAAACAAATTTGCTATGATATTACTGAGGTAGGTGTATAAACAGTAGCTTTAACAGCAACTAGTTACTTAGTATTCAAAAAAACTTTAAACTCACTTGATTCAATGACATTTTAAACACAGAAATGAAGCGGTGCTTCGCACCACTTGCGATACAACTCAAGTATATAAAACATTCCAAAATTTAAAATTGAGTAGTCTCGATAGAAGTTCATTCTAGGCAAACATGCTAAACATTTAATATTAATCATTGAGCCGATAAAAAATCAACAAAACTAATAAAAAGTTAACAAGTCCACCTCACCCTCAACACACAAACAAAAGACTTAAATTACTCGTCAAATGAACCAATATGAGGCCACTAGGCTGATATAAAAAAAAGCCGAATACAATTGCGATGAACAAAAAAGGAAAATGAGAAGGCGAAAAAAAGTTCACGAATTTATGACCCATAAAAAACTATTAAGTCCCCCTCAACTGAGAACATTCAGGCACACACAATTTTTTTTGATGGTCGACAGACACAATTTGAGGCCATTAAGCCATATCATATAGGCCGGAACCAGTTAAGCCGAAAAAAGGAAAAGAAAAAACAAAAATGCCGAAAAACTATAATTTCAATTAAGATTTTAGCAAATTTTGCGATTCGAAGAAGAGCATAAAACTTACTTTTCACTTGAAACGATGCAAAGTTAGAACACTAAGCCGATAAAATACAGGCCAAAATCATTTGGACAGAAAAAATTAAGCAAAAACAAAATATAGAAGTCAAAATATAGATTATAAACTGCAGAATTAAATCAGAACTCTATGAGCAAATACAATGTAAATTGCGCACAGCAAACGAAAACAAAATGAACTATGTGGCAAATAGGCCGACAAAACGTAAGCAGAAAAATAACAAGACGAAACCTTTTGTTAAACGGAATATTTCGCGTTTGAAAAAAAAAGTCCCGGTCAGATTCGAACCCAGGACTTTTGTCGCGTACCAGGCAAAATTGTTAAATCCAGGTAAAGAAGGCCGGGAACGCTAAGAATTTGAAGTGGGCCGGAACGCTCAGAAGGTATCACTAGAGATGAGTCCAGAAGTATACAACAGATGAGTCCTGTGGACAAAGTTGTTTACGGAAAAAAGTCTAGTTCCCGATTGCAATACCTTTGCTTGTCGCTTAAAAAGCAACGGAACAAAACTTATGAAGATAAAACAGAGCAGACAATTTTTGAGTACCAATTTAAAATTTCGGTATAAAGAACAACAATTGCTTTTGCAAATCTGTGATGTGGCAACTGAGCCGACAAACGAAAGTCCGAAATATCAAATTCTATCGAAAAAAACTTTCAATTGCATACATACTGAAAAAAAAACATGTTCCAGTCGGGACTCGTACCTCAGACCTTTACAAAGAGAATAGAAAAGAAAGATCTGTTAAAAAAATGTTTTGGGAAAGTCTAGTCCCCGATAACAAGACATTTGCTCTCGCAAGTGTAAATAGAAGTTAGAAAGATGCATATCAACCTTTCAAGATGTAGTAAAAAAATTTGTCGTTTTCGGGCGCATCTCGTATATACTTTACAAATTCTACTCGGAGAACTACAAAATATAACCAACAGATAATTTGAAAAGTGTCAATGAGCACATGTAAACAGAAAAAAAATACTGACTTGTTTTTTTTTGTAAAATCTCGAATTTTGAAGAAACCAATTGATGGCCTTCAAGCTCTTTGAAATTCTAGAACTGGATCAATAGGTAAAAATTCTATTTTGCTGGGTTATCTGAAAATTAAACTCCAATTTCGAAACACATGTGTAGCTTCGCGTCGCAAACAATAGCGAGAACACGACAAAAAGCAACTCTATAAAGAGCGATAAGAAAAAGTAGCAATAAGCATCGAATTGGTAAAAATTCGGCTACGTCACGAATTCGATCTGGGACCTACTGTGACCTCGAGAACGCGAGTTTCACACACTAACCACTCAGCCACGGACGCTCAATAAATCACAAACACTAGCCACAAATAAACCAGAAAACAGATGCTATGAAATTTCCAATGCTACAGATCATATTTATAGCAAAAAGGCACACAGATAAGTGAACACTCTTAATGAACGCTTTTATTTGCGAGTTAGGTTAGAAAAAAAGAAGGTTCGTACTAATACACTAGGCTGCTGGCCATTGTAACTAGAAGCCGGTCATGTTTTTCGTGACCTTTACATTTTTGCCATTAATAAAGGAAATGATAAAAATCAAATCAAAAGCCAAAACGCGAAAAAAAGAAGACTTCCTTCAAAAAAATCGCCACGACCTATATAAAAGTCTGAGCTACGTTCATCGACACTTAATGGCAAGTTATACTAACCACAAGTTTAGCAAAGTAAATACTCAAACTGAACTTACCGAGTAGCTCCAGCAGCAAGTAGCGGTTGTTGAGAGTGGGGAAATTTCTATACTGACTCTCGTCTTCCGCATTCTGTCTCTTCAGGTCTCTCACGTGTACATTCCTCTCTCGCTCCATCTTCTCCAACTCAGTCGCTAGATCCGACTCTTCTTTACGCAGCCACAATGCACGTAATTTGAGAATTTCATCTCGCTCGTGGAATTCGTTTTGTGTTAGTGTGGGCAGAGAAACTTTCTTAAAACGAAGAAAAGCCAAAATCATTTTATGCGTCTAAGAAATAAGTTCTTCTTCAGACAACGTATTTAACTTATTGTAAAAAAAAATTATTTTAAAAGCAAATTCTCAAATGTTTTGTGTAAAAAATCATAGAAAGGTTAACCCGATTATATGCGCATTGTATAAACATCCCTTAGTTGTTATATTTTAGGTTGGTGTTGTAATTTTTGAATGATCGTACCTTGTCTGAATTTGCCTTGGTGGATGAGGACTCTGAGTTCTGGGATGCAGTGGAAGGGGGCTTCTGTTTAACTAGCAACTTCTTTTCTTTCTCCATCATGTCCCTCTCCTTTGCTATCTCCTCTTGTCGCTTTGAGATCTCCTTGAAAGCATACCTAGAACACAATTTCCATCACAATAATGTACATCACAAAAACGTGGGCGCTTTTACATTAACTTGTTTTTTTTATATAATTAGATGCTCTAGAACGTATATCTGAGAATTTCTTGCATGTATTATATCCTTCTACAGCTTACCGCATAATTATTTGGATCAAGTGAACAATCTCCCCTAAATATCAGAATCGGGGGGAGATTGTTCACTTGATTAAACGTAATATTTTCCAGCCGATCAGATTTGAGCATAGTACATGCCGTACTGCTTGAAATTGTCTATAAATCAACGACAAAACTTGTAGTAGCAAAAGTAGTATTTTCAGCTTTATGATGGTTTCTAGGGTTTGCACCTCTTTTTTATATCTAAGTTTAACATAATAAATTTTCCATTGAGATTGCAGTTGCTCAGAGGCATGATATTTTCCAGGTAGATGAATTAATACACTCCGTGTACCTGTTGTAATAAATTTAGCCCCCTCTTAAGAAATAGCAGTTATAAGTATACATATTTTGTATTTGGTAACCAATTAGCTCCCCTTTAGCAGAAGGGAGAAAAGTTGAGAAGTTTCTTTAATCTTTAATTGTAGATATCACAACAACTTACCCATCTTGCCACTGTTCAACATATGTAGCACCTTGCCGAACATTGACAAACTGTCCTAGGCGCAGTTTCTTCTCCAAAGTGCATCTTCTGGTCTCTCTTCGCTCTGCGCGCGCTTTTTCAATTAACAGGTCTCTGATTATATCAGAGAACCTAGATACAGACTCTCGTAGGTTTTTACACTCGCTTTTCAGTTGCTCATTCTCTTGGTTAGATGTTTCCATCCGGTGAATCAAACTGTAAATTTGAGTATCTCTCTCCTCCAAATTTGAAAGAGATCTTTGCTGTTGCTCTTGAAGAACTAAACCTAAAACAAGGAACTTGATTTAAAAACAACTAACGCGGCTACCAGTTATATTAGAGTTTGCGGATAATCTCGATAGCTTAGGGTCATACCAGCGATACTATATTGGAAAACGTTTTTAAATAATTATACTACTAACGATGTGCACTGAAAATACCAAAAAATTGAATTGAAAGGAGAACTGATTTGATCTTTTGCTCAGCCGAATTGAAAATTTCAACACAGAAGCGAAGCAACTCTTCGCAGATACAAGACAAAAGGGCAAAAAGAAAGTTAAAAATGCAGCGAAAAAAAAAACAAATAAAGAAAAAGAAATTAAGCCTTGAAAAAAAATTTTACTTGAAAACTTTTAATTTATGATGGAGCAGATCCCTCGACTTGGAGGTTACGAGGCGGATGTCCTCGCTTTTGCACTACAATAGCTTTCCCATGTGCAAACACTAGTCTTCAATGAAGGCGATAGATCAGATGCTATTAATCTGACAAGGATATGTAGCAAAAGTGCTAACAAATGAGCAATTTGAAAAAACAGAGTTGCTTAGTTTTCTTGATGAAATCTATCTTAATTTCAAAAATTCAGTCCAAATATGATAAGAGAGGAAAAGTTGAAGTTAAGTATATGTTGGAAAGAGGAAGAAGACCCGGAGATGAAAAGAGATCAATCAGTTTCTTGGAGAGATTCAAGTACGCAGCTAGCGTTTCCGCGTTGTACACAGATAGCAAGTCTTTGCCGCAGGAAGACGGTTTCCCTTGGATCGTCAAAGTAATATTGAATAGAATTTCAGCCAATTTACGAATCTCATTGGAAAAATAACTGAATTCGGCAATTTCAACCTGATGTGATCGTGCAAAACTCGATTCATCCTCTTGATCTCAAATTTAAAAATAATGAATTGCCAGTATCAAATTTTCATGACTGGAAACTAATCTGCCACTTTAGGAGAATCAAAACCAACTATTACAAGCTCATTAATTATGAAAACTATAACATAATAATTAACCACAAAAATAAAACCTTGTCGAAAGATTTAATGGGCAATATATTGAAAACTCTTTTTTTAAAAGGCAGAACTGTGTGAAACAGGTTACATGATGACGAAATTATTTTCAGGTATATTGTAATTATAGAAGAGCGAAATACATATTTCCAGTTTACTCTTTACTAATATTGAAGTTAGAGCCAAACGGAGGCTGAGCAATAAGCAGAGTGGTCTAAGAGCAAAATGGGTCCAAGAGCAGAAAAACAGACAATTTTTTCCTTTTATTAATTTATACGGTCTAATTGATAAAACAATTATCATAATCGTCAATAATACCAAGAAAATGGAAAAATTATGCGTGAATTGAATAATTCCACCAATTTTTTAAATGATTTTTTTTGAAAAAAATCTCGATTAAATTCTTCAAATTATGCATAAAATATTAGTTTCTTTGGTAATAATGTCTATTCTTAACTTACCGAATAGATTATAAAAACTAAAAATTTTCTGCTCTTGGACCCATTCTATTCTTAGACCATTCTGCTTATTGACTGGCCACTCTTGGACCCATTCTATTCTTTGACCATTATTCTGCTTATTGACTAGCCACCGAGCCAAACGGTGACATCTTATGGAAAAATCTCATGTTAGGATTTGAAATTTAACCAAAAGATTTAAACTGGCAACTACAGCGTGTATTTTTAGTTGCGAGTTGGGTTAGAAACAATGGATTCGAAATAAAGCACTAAACTCGCTAGCTATCTTGTATTATTAATTTCAATTAATTCGAGTGCAGCATTTTTTTGAAACTGGAACGTTTGCTTCAAGTAATTGACCCTTTCAATTTTTGTGTGTCGGAAAGAACTCGTTTCCCTAAAACAGCAAATGGCTAAAATCTGCTATCTATAACGTCATCTGGAGTGTCGATGCCGGAAACATCGATACTGCATTTTAACTCTTAATTCAAGAATTCTATTCAATTAGTAGAAGCTTCCATTTAGCTGGAACTTAATTTCAATTTCCGTGAGTACATCCCTAGACTTGCAAGAGGAAACTTTCTTTCATGAAAAAAAATCATCACACGCATACCTGTTAAATCCGTTTGTACTGGCTGACAACGTGTAAATGCTTCAGGGGAATTAGGATTGTGGAACAAAGCAACCCGCGTATTTTGGTCGATTTTCGGTTGATTGCGACTGAAATAATCGTCGATCTTTTTACCATCTTTGTCTTTATCTTTGTCCTTTTTAGACGCCGAAAAAGATTCATCTGCAATTTTTCGTTTCCGAGCTTTGTGCTTCGGAGTTTTTGTCGTTTCTTTGGCTTCTTTTACTACAACAACTTCCTGATCTGTCTGGTCAATTGAAACTCCGCCTCCTGTGCTGACTTCGTCGCTCATAGGTTCCTCAGAGGGCGTGGGTGTTGTAGTTCCCTGATTAGGAGAATGTTGAGAGTTACTCGAATAATGAATGTTATTGGATGATTCCTTTCCAGGAAGAGGATGACCCTGCATCCTAGCTTCTAAGAGTTCAATTTTTACAGGATCACTTCCTATAAAACTGATATTAACTGCTGGGAGCTCTATATTAGAAACATTTTCACCATTGTCCATATCTAAAACAGGATTCTATATTTACCTTCTAAAAAGATTCAGTTAATAATAATAATAATAATAATAACAAAGGATTTAGGACTAATCCAAGGGTTCGCATAAAACCCAGTGATTGAGAGGTTCAACGTTCGTGTTTCAGTTGTTAAAGTTAAGTTTCTTCAAATCTCTACAGTTGTTGCAGCCACATAATATCCGCCAAGTGCATGAATCTGATTCGTTGTAGCGGGTTTTGAAGAACTTCGTATAAACTTCCAGTAGTTTAATTTTGCATCCTGGATCAAAGATTATGTCAAATTTGAAGTAATCGTTAAAAAGGTTGGCCAGACTGCAAGCTCGAACCCAGAAATCTGATTCACACTTCTTCAGACGTATTTGTTGGCAGGCAAAATTTCGTGTTGCTTGTGTTCTTCGAGTACCGATGTCTGTGATGGTTACTTGACTATGCCAGTCTATGTCAACTTTTCCGGTTAGTATTTTGGCAAACAAGAGAATAACATGAAGTTCTTGATATAAGGAGATTGGAAGGATATCGAGTTTCACGAGCTTATCCTAATAGGATATGTTGTTTGTGATGAAGATCCATGATACTGCTTTTCGCTGGATACTTTCAAGAGTACCTAAGTCGCTTTTTGATGGTTTCCAAAGGGCTGATCCGTAGTTTAAAATTGGCACAACATAACAGATATATGCGTTCTTTCTGGTCCAAAACGTCGCTTTTGAAAGATTCCGTTTTAGGATGAAGAGAGCGTTCAAGGCTTTTTCGGTCGTTTTCTTTGCATGCAGAGTCCACGAGAGTGTGTCATTTACGAGAATTCCCAGATCTTTCATACATTCAGTTGTTTCAAATTCATGGTTTGACAGTGCAATAGGAGCTGTACCTTTAATGCAGAGCACTTTGCTTTTTACTAATTTCATTGACATGAAATTTTCGTCAGACCACCGCCACAGTTTTCTAACGTCTATATTCAGTGTTAAAGGGTTGTCGCCTACAATTTTGTAGTCCTCAGCATAACCGAACGATTTAGAAATGACACATGATGGAAGATCGTTTATGAAAAACAAAAAGAAGAGCGGTCCGAGGATGGAGCCTTGTGGTACGCCACTGAATACTTCTAATTCATCTGAAACAGTGTCATTTAGTCTCACAGTTTGCTTCCGTTTATAGAGGTAGCTTCTTAACAGATTCAAACAGTTTCCACCAATCCCCAGAGCAGCCAACTTTTGTATGAGAAGCTCATGCGTGACTTTATCAAACGCTTTCTCGAAGTCTTTATAGAAGATATTCAGATAGGAGCAGTTTTCAGACTCTAAGCAGCTATAGATTTCATGCAGATATTCTATAAGGTTCGTTATAGTTGACCGTTTGGGTCTGAAACCATGTTGGGCTGATGCCAGAGTTGGGTAAACAATTGGAATCAGCTTCTCGAAAATCAGTTTCTCTTGCAGTTTTGAAACTGTTGAAAGCAGGCTGATAGGCCTGTAATTACTAAAATCTTCTTTATCTCCGTCTTTGAGTATTGGTGCATTTTCACTGACTTTCCATTTTTCCGGAAATCGGGCTTTATTTGAGATGAGGGTAAACAGTAAGTGCAGTGATTTCGGCAGTGACTTAGAGAGACTCTTCAGAAGTAAGTTCCCGATCTTATCCGGTCCTTTGGCTTTATTTACGTCCAGTAGTTGCAGAGCGTTTTCTATTTCATCGGTCGTAAAGTGAATCTGATTTAGTAGGGTGCTATTTTGTTCGCCTAGTTTCGTGTAGTAGGTGTTTTGAGTGAACACTGATTGAAAGTATTAGTTGAATAATATTACTTTTTTCAAAATCTGTATTGGCAGTTCTTTGATCCAAAAAAAATTTCGGTAGGGATAGTGTTCGACTTGGTGATCGACTTCAAGTATCTCTGTATGTCGCTGAATTTGCCTTCCTTGGAGAGCGTCTTCTCATGTAGATGCTGGTCATTTTGAAGCGACAGGGTGAGCTCAGTTTGTAGACATTCGATTTTGATTTTGATTGACGGCGTGGGCTGCCGTTGTTGTTTCAATTGAAGTGTTTTTAACTTCTTGATGAGGTTTGAAGAGTTGCCACTTACCCATGGAGCCAGTTCGGACCTATTTTTTGTAGTTATTGGAAGAAGATCCTTTAATATTTCATGTAGCCACTTATACCAAAGTTCAACCATCAAGTCCACGTTGCTCATGCAGTATGGTCGGAAGGGATGTTGGAGAATGAACTCATTAATTTCTTTCCAGTTAGTTTTCTTGTATGCAAATATACCGAAGTCTAGCTTTTGTTTGGGAGACGGTGAAGAGATATGTACAGGTCGGATGTCAAACGAGACTTTAGCTTGATAAAGTTTGTGATCAGAATTGAAGAGACTTCTCAAATGGTTATCAATGACTATGCTTGTCACATACTGGGGTTTATTGCATAAGAGAACATCCAGTGACCTTCCGTCCTGGGTTTTTATGAGTTGCTGAAAATTTGATTCACATAGTTCATTGATTATTGTTTGCTCGAAGAGAGATGTTGACGTCATTGAGGGCCAGTGTGTAGATGAAAGATTGATGTCTCCAGCTATATATGAGCAAACAGCCCTGTATTCGAACTGTTTTCGCCTAATGAACTTTAGGAGCTCAACGATGTCCGGAAGAGTCCATGTATACGCACTGTTTGACGGGGCGCTGTAAAGACAACATATTAGGAATGTTTTATTTATGCTTATACGAATTATCCGACAGTCTTGAAAAATTGAGTCAATTTGAGAGCTTGGAATGTTTTTGCTTACTACTATCAGTACACCGCCATGCTTTGTCAACCCTTTATCAGATAGTCTGTCTTTTCGATGTATCGAATAGTTGGTTAGAAACAGACCTATATCGCTAATGCTTCCTGTGAGCCACGTTTCTGTTAGGCAGATAATTTGATAAATATTTTTCACTTGAACGGCATTGGAGAAATTGGTTCGGCGTTGGTATTCAAGTATACTTCTCACATTGTAAATTAGTATATTTATGAAAGCTGCTAGTCATTCGTCCGCCACGGGAAGCTTCTCTTTTGTCCACTTTGCGCCCTGTCGAATAAACAGGGTTGCGTCACGAACACGCAGATTTTTCGGATCGGTGCCTTTATTTATCAGTTCTCGTCGTCTCACAAGAGCTAAGTTTTCTAGGTCAGCTTTTTCTTTTGTCAGTTGTTTGCTGAGAAAGATTGGTTGACTGAAAGTTTTCAGCTTTCTCGCCGATAGCAGTACCATTCGACGCTGATAACGTGCTTTAATACATAACTTTGTAAGACTTCTATGACATCCAGAGATCGGTAGGCTTTTCATCAGTGAAGATGATTAGGTCTAAGGTTATGTTAAATTTATCAACTGCACCAACGTGTTAAATTTCTGAGAGTTCGTATAGAAAACGACATTATACTTGACTTTTTCGAGGTTCCGGAAAATGGGGAGTTTTCGAACCAAGCGGTACACAGATTTCAGACAAAACTTCTAAGAACGGAGATTAACAAGGCAAGGACAGATGAGAAAAACGTCGAGGACAGACTAGAAAGGGCAAGAGGCACAGTACAGAGGGGTGTAGATGAGAAGTTTTGGCCTTCGTTAACAAAATACCTAAGTCTCAGGGGACAAAAACAAACAATATCGACCAAGGCAAGATCGACCTCTAGGGAAGCAAGGTGCGGGTTCGGTAAAAGCTCTCGATGATGCTGAATTACCAGATTGGGTACAACATGTGTTGGCTTTAGGTCCGAAACATCCTGTCAGGGATATATTTAATGAGACACACTTTCTCGCCGATATTGACATCTTTCTTTCGGATCTCAAAAATCGTAAAGTCCCTTGGGAGGCCCTTGGTGAGATCAAATTTATGAGATCGTTAGCCTAATTGTTTTGATACACTTATTGAATGGTTTCATATCTCGCAATTTCAAGACAAAATCGAGATGCTCATTCTGTCTCCGATGTTCCTGGTGACTTGTGCGGCAAGTGCAACAAGAGTGGCGGTAGTCAATGGATTCATTGTGACCTATGCGACCACTGGTATCACTATAACTGCTCGGAAATCCCAAGCGATCTTCTACCACAAATAGTAAAAGTTATTTTGCCACTGTTCAAGCGCAATATTTGTTAAAAAGAAGTCTATTGTTCTTTCATCTTCTACTATTCAAGAAATCATAAAAGATGCTCTCTCTGAGCTTCCTGCCACAATTGATAGAGTTGTCCAAGAAAGAATTGCCGATTCTGTACCTGTTTCTGATCCGAACTATGCAGCTGTTACTCCGACGCCTGTTGTAACTTTTTTACTGTATCTCCTCAAGTTGAAAATCATTAGACTCGTGAGTTAAAAATTGACGGTATTTCTGAAAGCAAAGGCGAATTCAATTTAACATTCGCTCAAATACTACACAGCGACGGAGCGTAGAAAAAGTACCTATTAACGACTGGCAGGCGTCAGTTACCTTAATCCTGCTCGTTTTTCACCGTCTCGACCTTGCCAGTTGATTTTCTGGTCTGTTTAGGGCTAAGTAAAAAGTTACTATTTTTAGGCCATCAGTCAAACGACTTTTGATCAGCTTTCGTTTACATGCGAACACAGCCACATAGCTGAGTCTCGGATCCTCAGACTACGTGGTTGCTATTAAAAACACGGCTCGAATACCCTATTTTAATATGTTTTTGTGTGACAGTTCTATATTAAATCCATTGGAGATGGATTGACCCTTTCCTCTTTCTAGCTACTCATATTCTAAAGTATCAAATAACACCGGTGTTAATTCAGAGTTCTACGACATCCAAGTAGCTACAAAGTCAGTTTTATATAGTCCCTTCATATACAACAGTCTCTGGGGGACCAAGCCTCTGCTCCCGTAATCTTCCCGAGATAACGTTCTTATCTCTCCCAATTTGTGGCACGGGAGGGTTCCGTGGAATATTCCTTCCCCACTGAAGCTTCCTTTTCCACTAATTTCCACTGCTAAAGTTCTTATCGCGTGTTATTGTC